CTCCGCATAGAGGCATTTCTCAAAATGTCGACATTAAAATCATTCCCTTCGTGCTTCGGTTTAGTCAAAATGCCTACTAATATATAATAAATATCATCAATTTTATTGCCAATATTTTTATCAATTTGTTGCTTTTAATCTTCAACTTTAGTAAAAGTTTTGTCATTTAGCTGATTGATGTTACTTTCAGCATCCCGACTTCAGTGTTTCGTAGACGGACCCCCCCCCCCACCGGGAATAACTCCGCCCACTCGTCAGGGGTATCAGCAATTGTTTATACTTCTAGATTTTGGCTATCCACAATTTTCTTTTGTTTCAAATTATATATGAATTACCATGACTTCTTAGGAAGGTCAGTGAAATGATTTCCCTTTACCTTTTCCACGGTTTTGAATTTAGAGTTTTCCTCAACTTGACTGAAACCCAAATCTAGAGATTTCGGTCTGACTTGCTTATTTAACCTATAGCGTGTAGGAGAAGAGATGGATTCATGTTTTTTTTTCTTTCCCAAGGGTATTAGTGCAAAACTGAACGCAACAACCCGGAATTTGAACTCAACTGTATAATCATTAGGGAAGTACCCCGTTGTTTACGGTGTTGGCGACGATGATAGAATTCGAATGCAGATTCACGCAGAATAAAAGGCGGCCATATTAACATGGAACTGATCTCGTAGCAAATGTGGCGTGTCAGAGTTATCCCCCTTGAACCATCCACAAAATGTTGCTAATGGCGTTTTCCATTTTCTAATCAAAAGGAAAAAAAAAAAAAAAGACAAAGCAGCTGTTTGAGAATTTGTTGGTATATAACAGAGTTTTCCAAAGTGGGCCCCGCGGAGCCATAGGGCTACGTGAGTGAAGTCCGGGGGTTCCGTACGCCTTTCTGTTATGTGTTTCATGATGAGGATTATTCCAAAAAAAGTAACAAAGAACACTAGTTTCAAACACAAGGTAAAAAAACTTTTCAGCACAAACCCTGAGGTGGTCAAAAAAAAAAAAAAAAAAAAAAGATAAAAAGAGACAAATAAATCGCTAAAACGATTATATTTCTTCTGTGATGAGATAAAGAACAAATGGGAAACATTTATCAATCTAACATGTTTCATTTTTTGAATGCATCATCGGAGAAAAAAAGAAAGAAATTCTGGTATTTTTATTTTTGTATTGTTCAATTTGAAGTCGTTCTTTGACCTAAGTAGGTTTTCAGGCTGGGATCGACCTCCAGTCCGATAACATTAGTAAGTCTCCTTCCTGATAAATCGATCATGGTGAGAAAGCGAACGTTCTAACTACTCTACAACGCGCCCATATATATATATATATATATATATATATATATATATATATATATATATATATATATATATATATATATATAAATATATAAAAAAAAGAACAGTAAGATATAAAATCCGGTGTTCTTATAGATATTTTTTATTTTTACAAAATAGTGCTCAATGTAAATTTACAGAGCATTAATATTATAAATTAATTGATTTAAAATATGTTTTTTTTATCTACACAGTTCAACCATGTTTCAAAAATAGAAGCTAAAACCCCGAATTTAATTTTGCAATTAAATTAAAAGCATTAGTTCCATATTCGCTTGAAGATGAAATAGAACTAATGCTTTTTAATTTAATTGCAAAATTAAAAGGTTAGCTTTCTATTTTTGAAACATGGTTGGAACTGTGTATCAAAAAAAAACATATTTTAAATCAATTAATTTATATATATATATATATATATATATATATATATATATATATATATATGCACGTCCATATATATTATATATATATATATATATATATATATATATATATATATCCATATATATTATATATATATATATATATATATGTGTGTGTGTGTGTGTGAGTGTAACCAGGCAGCAAATTCTCTTACAAGCATTAACTCTGCTTATTTTTATTGAACCGCATTACGAATTTATGAACTGCGTCTGCTATTCCGCGACCGTTATCGTCGCATAGCAAACATTTATGCCAACAAAACAGGGTGTCACCTTTGATGGTGCACACATCTGTTGTTATGTCCATATAGCCACTCTGATGAGGGCTCATGTGAACCGAAAGCTTAGATCGACCATAACCAATATGATAAAGAAATATCCAAATGTTGGACAGTTTTTGTCGTTATTTTCTCGTGAAACTGAAGGCATTATACGACACTTGAAACGGCTCATGATAAAACATAATTGGCATTCGTTGTCTGTTATCGTTAAAAATTTGTTTGAAAAATGATCTGCTGCCTCTATACACTATATATATGTGTGTGTGTGTGTGTGTGTGTGTGTGTGTGCGTGTGTGTGTTCTAATCACAAAATGTAGACATAGAAATAAATTCCAAATTACATAAGAATACATGTGCATATATGTGGGGGTGTATGTGTACGTATAGTGGCATATATGTATGGATAAGTAAATGTACATATATGTTTGTATGAAGATATGTACGTATATAAGTGTGTTGGACAGAATGATTTATTCTATTGGGTGCTCTGGTATTATCCACAATTTTACAACTCTATAACTCAACCAATTTACATTAATCTTAACGGGTTTAAGTTGAAATCTCCCATCGCTTATTAATAATATTGGACACCTGTAGTACAAAAACTATTTACTGTGAATCCCAGAAAAACTCACTTTGGGCTTTTATAAGAAACGCCACATAGTAGGAACTGATATTAAACTACAAACACTATCCTGGTCATAAATAAACTCCAACCGCTCCTCCCCCCGGCATAAGATACCTTACGCCCCCACCAATGGCTAAAACAAATCCATTGTCATTAGCAAGGCGTCTACCAGAGGAGGACAGACATTGTAAATAAATTTAAAACAATGTTCCAAGACAGGCACTTAGGGGCTGATGATAGCCGCGTACAGAACGGCTTGAATTAGACTATCTTCTATGTTGAGTTAATTTTTGTTTTTTTGCTGTAATATATATATATATATATATATATTATGAAATGGACTAAGCACGAAAATTATTTTAATATATTCTCTGTTTATACCTTATTTTTATACATACAGTTATTTAAGTAAATGCTCTGTTTAGAATAAAGAGTATTAATTACATTTACCGGCCCGAAATGAATGGTTCCGTGTAAGAGGATACATATTTTTTACAAATTTTCTTGGATAAACAAGCTGGTAAATGTAATTAATACTGTTTATTATAAACAGACCATTTTTTAAGCATCACCCCAGGCAAGACGGGAGTGCCACTAGCATGAAAGGGGTTACAGAGAATGAGAGCAAGAGTAAAGAGGGTTGTTTGAGGAAAGGATAAAGAGAAAGACGAGAATCAAGATCAAGGCATTAGTAGATGTCGATTGACATCCCATTTGAATATTTGAAGATTATAGTTATCAGGGAAGCAAATAAGAGGAAGGGAGTTCCACTGTCGGGAAGTGCGAGAGAAGAAGCTGTTGGAGTAGAAGAGACGGCTAGAATTAACCGTTTCAACAGTGAAAGGGTGGGACCGAGATGCCAACCTAGTAGCACTCTTAAATTCATGCGGTTTGGGAACCAGTGAAATAGCTCGTTAGGGCAGTTGCCATAAAAATACTTGTAGAAAAGACAGAGGGAAGCCACAGCACGTCAGTGAGTGGCTGTTGACGAGATGGCAGATCAGGATCTAGCACATTGCATATCCGTCTTTGTATTTTGTTGAGAAGCTCGAGATGAACAGCGGGGGTACCAGAACATATATGGCAGCAGAATTCAATGCAAGGATAAATGGTTGATTTGTAGATTTGAAGGAAGGACTCAGGCGAGAAAAACTTGCTGTCGCGACACAGACAACCAACTTTCCTTGCGGTAGATGTAGCTATTGATTCAATGTAGTTGTTCCACTTCAGGTCAGCGAGGAACGCGAGACCAAGAAGGCGCAGTGAGACGCTCGCATGGGGCTGGACATCAGCCATTCTGATGGGAGGCAGTGAGGGTTCTCTATGGTGGGTAAATGAGAAGAGTATTAGTTTGGAGGTATTAAAGTTGAAAAGCCATTTCCTGCCCCAGTCAACGACAGATTGAAGGTCCTTTTCGAGACCAATGGCTAGGTTAGTTTTGACAGCGATATTGGATTTACTATTGAGGCAGGAGCAAATAGTAACTTAAATAATTGTATCCATAAAATAACGTATGAACAGAATATATATATATATATATATATATATATATATATATATATATATATATATATATTTTATGTTTAACATTCTTTTTTATAGATACAAATATTTAAGTAAATGCCCTGTTTATAATAAACAGTATTAAACAACATTTACCGGCCTAAATGTCTGAGAAATTTTCACTGAAAAATTATTCGTATATATATATATATATATATATATATATATATATATATATATATATATATATATATATATAATACAGAGTCTTAAACACTAATATTCCATGGTCATAGTTTATTCCATTGGAATCGTAAATACGATCCAATTCATCAGACCTACAAATTCAAAAAAGAAAACAGAAAAAACAACCGGAAATAAAAACAGAATTTAGAGAGATTGTAAGTATGAGGAGGAGGAGGAGATTAAACCTTAACGGAGAGAATTTTAGGGAGGTGGGTGGAAGGGTTTAATTAAGAGAAAAGAATGAATGTTGACGGATGTCTAATGCATAAAGATACATTTCGTGGTGACATACACACACCATAGACAATCTAATGTTAGAATAAGAGGAGGAAAAAGACGAGATATATACATATATATATATATATATATATATATATATATATATATATATATATATATATATATATATATATACATATATATATATATATATATATATATATATACTATATATATATAGACATATATATATACTATATATATATATAGACACAGACACACACACACACACATATATATATATATATATATATATATATATATATATATATATATATATATATACTAGCTATCTATCTTAGAATATTCAGATTCATCTATCTATCTATCTATCTCATCTATCTATCTATCTATCTATCTAGCCACTCTCTTAGTGCCCCAACAAGGAAAAGAGAGAAAATTAGAAGACTCAACCTAAAACTTATAAGATTTACCATGTCTGTCACCTTACTGGGCTGTCGATTTTCATCTACCCAGTTCAGCTGATTATGCGGCATGAGTTATCCGCCTACGACCCTTCTTTGACTTGAAGCTGGACTTCGTTATCAGAGGTTATTTGAACCGCATTTTCAAGACAGTGGGAAATTGTCCCCATTACCACCACCGGCTATGACAATCTTTGGAAAATATATAATCTATGAATACAAAACATATATGTTAATATTTATTAATATACTAGCAGTAGAGCCCGACGTTGCCCGGGGATATAACAGTAAGAGATAGATCAAGTATCTACCATCATAAAGACTGAAAAATAAAATTGACAAAGATTATTGTTTAAGGTTGACGGACACGCATGTCTTAATTATTTTTTTTTTTTACGAATTGGTCAAACCCAAACTCAAACAAAAACATTGTTTTCAATCGTTATGTGTCTACTGATTGAATAGAATTTTATTATAAACAATTGTCTTGTAAATGGAATTTTTAAAGCATTCTGAATGTAAAAATGAAGAAAAAAGTGTGCAAGATTCGTACACGTGAAATATCAAGGCTCTGCGATCCACTTTTTGCACAAAATTGGACAAGTCATTTTCAACAATTTGAAATGATGTAGAATTAAGATTCTAAAAATCCATCACTAGACCAGCCGTGTAAAATAGCAGGACAGACTGGGTCTTATAGCCTTGGATGGCAACAAGTCTATGAGAAAGAAATTCCAAACCACCTGATGGCTAGAGGAGAGTAACTTTAAAACAAATCCACCTCTGAGAGTCACGTGATAGACTCGAAACACATATACAGATTTTTGGCGGAATTGTATTTTCGTTCAGGTCAGAAACTAGGTCGATACAATTCGGACGTAGTTGAAAACATTATATCAGTACACAGATCTACGGCATCTATTCATTCTTTCAACTACAAGCAACAGAAACTTATTCAACTTCAAACAGAGATTTTCATCAACACTCAACAAATCTACAACACCTTCTTATCTCGTTCTTTTTATTGAGACTGAACTGAACAGAAATCTTTCCCTGGATTCCAGATAAAAAATACTACCATACTTAACTTCCTGGATAAACTCATACACACCAGTTAATCGTGCACACATTTGTTAATTAAACAAAAACTACAAGATTTCAACCAAAATCTACGCCATATTGAAAATTGTTTGTTGACCAAAATATCGCCTTTGTCTTTTCTCAGTTTTGTGTTGTTTTTTCTTGTTTGCTTATTGTTTGCTAGCACATTTGTAAAGTAAAAAAAATGTACGGATTGAATTGAAGCCGTTCAGTACCACTACAGATTCATACCTTTCCCAAATGAATGTAAAATAACTCGATTGGAATTCGAACTCAGCTATACGATTACTCAATTTGAACCGCAAACCATAACACGATCGTGTCCTCATCATTAACATTATTATTGTTGTTGTTGTGTATATTAGTCAAAGTTAGTATTAAATATACAATAGTAATACTGATCCGTAAAATAAATACTATCAGTAACAGGATGTCCAGTCGATATGCTAAAAATGTAATTTACTACTACTAGTAATAATAATCATTCTTTATCATTGTTGCTTTCTTTCTGACGTATACGCACGCACAGACACGTACACCGTTGTGTTCACACGGAGGTAGAGTAAGAGTAATATTAGAAGCGTACATCGGGATATCGTTTGTATCGGGAATCGATCTGAAAGGTATCAGCGACACTATTAATATTGTTTTGTGCGTGTACAAACTAAATGACAGCTGTCGCAGACGAAGGAATTAACAAGAGAAACACACACACCCAAATGTCGGCTGACTCATATATCAAGACCAGCTACCCGCCCCACATGCATAATGATATATATATATATATATATATATATATATATATATATATATATATATATATATGGATGTATGTATGTATGTATGATTATCTATTCGAAAATTATAACATAAATATGTTATAAAATCACTACAAAAATAGCCGTTTTGTTTCAACACCTCTGGTGTGTTATCAAGTGATTGTGTTGAATGTATAATAAAAGGTTTTCAAAGGTTCAAATCAATCAAACACCCCTCGCTAAGGGAAACGCAGTTACAGAAGCTGGAATGACCAATCAAAATACAAGTAGATGAGAATTCAAAAAACTTGACAACAGACTTTGGTTATTATAATTAATTAATGCTTTAAGGTTAGGGTTAGACTAAAATAGAATTCATTCTAACTAATAAATATTAAATTATACTATAAAATTAAAAATTACCAAATTTAATATCTGTCTATATTTCTGAGATGAGGTATAATGCACATTATTTACATTATTCAGACTATTGTCCTCATCTTGGTCGCCATATTTATTACAACGTTTAGACCGTTGTACGCTCCGGCCTTCTTCAGGTGGTTGGAATGTCGAACTGAACCCTTTATTTCGCTCACTGGGGTAGACTGTTCTAGTTCCACGTGCCATGTTCAAGGACACATGGCACAGTGGATAAAGACGTTAGTTAGATCCAGTGACAGGACCCAAAGAGTGTGAGGTCAATACTCGGTTAAGACAGTGGAGAACTTTCAGAGGGGAATTAACAGGAGATAACTGATAACTGACATCCATTAAACATGGCCCGTGGAACTAGAACAGTCTACCCCAGAAAAAAAAACCCAAAACGACAGCATACATACACAATGAAATGCGCACACAAGTGACCATGTATACACACATACATTGACAAAGACCCGCCGATACATCCACCAAGAAATATTCAAGTTTGAAAGTGTTATTAAACGAATTCTAACATCTTATTAAAATATAACATATACGAACAAAGATACATAGATAAAAATAGTTGAATAGATAAAATTCAACGTGGGCAGAACAGATTGTATGTATTTACTCAGCATTTTTTCATTAATGCATGTTTCATTAAATAATATAGACAAGTTTTGTCTATTTATTTTAATCAAATTCCTTTCATATCGTCTGATAAGCTTAATAACATTATCGTTGAAAGACTTCCAGCGTTTCGTACGCACGAGTTTGTCGTTGTTTGGAAATCTTCCATGCAAACAAAAACAGACTATCATTCAGCAAGAATGATAGTCTGTTTTTGTTTGCATGGAAGATGTCCGTGAAATTTTTTAATTTATTGTAATGTAATTGTCATCTTTGATGATGTCTTATGTAAGCCGAAAACTTAGATAGAATTAAAAAACATATATCAGTATGGTGATATTCTTTCGTCCTTTGGTATATAATCCAGGTGGATCCTCGTAATATCAGATATTAAAACTGATCCACAAAGAGAACGCAATATATTTATTATAACAGAGTGTATATTTTATACAGCAAAAAATCCAAAATGACCTCATGTGGGTGTAGTCTGTTTCAGACTAGCCTTATGCTGTAGAGGTCATTCGAGATTCCAGGTGGATTAATCTCGAGAGAGCTCAACTGTTTATTGTAGGAGCAATACTATATATATATATATATATATATATATACCAAAAGTTAAATGGAAAATTATTGACAAGGCTAGAATATGTAACTTAAATTCAAAATCAAACTCAGCGTTGCTTTGGCGCGTTCCAAAACCAATAACTCTTTTTCAATAGCATTTTCGGATACAACAACACATATAATTACTAAGAAAAAACAAAAAACAACATCTATTCTATACCTGAAGATGTCTGTAGGAACAGACGAAAGCTTGTAGTAAAAATAACAACTAATACGGCAGAAATTTATATAAACAAGGATCAATTCATTCATAACGGATCTGGAGGTTTTTGTATACTATTTGAATTGTTTGCGATGATGGATGTCTCGCCATTTAAATCATTAACCTTTGCATTAGTTTTTGTGAATAATTCATGTATTTGTAAATTGATTGCACGTTTATTGTAATTTAAATAACTGATCCAAGTGCGACTTTTAGATAATAAGTGCGACATTACTGTAATTATTGAACAATATAGTTCATGCCACTTTGACAAAAAAAAATTTACCAGTAAAAAATTTGTTCATCACCATATTTGGTATAAACGCAAACACTTTAAAAATTTAAAATCAAACTCAGCGTTGCTTTGGCGCATTCAAAACCAATAACTCTTTTTTCAATACCATTTTCGGATACAACAACACATATATTTTCGTTGTCCTCTTATTACTAAGAGAAAAAAAAAAAACAACATCTATTTTATACCTGAAGATGTCTGTAGGAACAGGCGAAAGCTTGTAGTAAAAATAACAACTAATACGGCAGAAATTTATATAAACAAGGATCAATTCATTCATAACGGATCTGGAGTTTTTGTATACTATTTGAATTGTTTGCGATGATGGATGTCACGCCATTTAAATCATTAACCTTTGCATTAGTTTTGTGAATAATTCATGTATATATATATATATATATATATATATATATATATATATATATATATATATTTATTCTTATATATATATATAGTATATATGTAAAAATCTTTGTTAAAATATATATATATATATATACAGTTTATATGTAAAAAAATCTTTATTCAAATCTTTATTCATATATATCTTTATATATATATATATATATATATATATATATATATATATTTATGTAAAAATCTTTTTACAGTATATATATATGTAAAAATACCTTCAATTCATATATATATATATATATATATATATATATATATATATATATATATTAAAATATATATGAGTATATATAAATATATATATATATATATATATATATATATATATGTATATATATATATATATATATATATATATGCAGTATATATATATATATATATATATATATATATTCATATATATATATATATATATATATATATATATATATATATATATATATATATATATATATATATATACAGTTTGTATGTAAAAAAAATCTTTATATATATATATGTAAAAAATAACTTTTTTTTTCATATGTATATAATATAATGGCAAAA